GAAAGCAGAGAAATTTCTACAGATTACTTACGTAAGTAATCTGCTAAACGAAAGACTGCGTGCTTGAGTAATTGCAGACACCAATCTTCATCTCCTGCTTGTACGTTCTACATTTCCAATATAAAATCACCCAAATTTCACAACTTTGAAACAAATTCAAAACCACGTTACCATTTACCTTTGAGAAAATGGAGATTTCCAGGCCAAAGAGCATCAGGACTATTTTGATATTTCCATGGCTAGCCCATGGTCACATTTCTCCATTCCGACAGCTAGCCAAAAAGCTTTCCAAGAGAAACATTTTCATATACTTCTGTTCCACCCCTGTAAATCTCTCTTCTGTCAAGCCAATGGTTTCTCTAAAGGAATCACTTTGTATTCAGCTAGTGGAATTTCACCTCCCTTCGTTACCGGACCTTCCTTCCCATTACCACACCACCAAAGGGCTGCTGCCGCATCTCATGAACACCCTCAAGAACGCATTTGACATGGCTAGCCATAGATTTTCTGAAATTCTCAAGACCCTCAAGCCTGATTTGGTTATTTATGACTTTCTTCAGCCATGGGCGCCCAAATTAGCCTCATTGCAGGGGATTCCTGCTGTGGTGTTCTTGTGTTTCTCTGCCGTGATGACTTCCTTTACACTTCATGCCATCAAGAACGATGCAGGTGGGACTTACGAACACGTTAATGATCTGTTTCCTTATCCGGAAATTTATCTTCATGATTATGAGAGGCAAAAATTCGTCAATTTGATTGAGAATGATGTCAATGGTGTCAAAGATAAAGACAGAGCCCATCAATGCTTTGAAGGCTCCTCTGAGATAATTTTGATCAAGTCTTTCAGAGAAATCGAAGGGAAATTCATGGACTACCTCTGCGGTCTATTGAACAAGAGGATGATTCCTGTCGGTCCACTTGTTCGAGTCCCCATGGAAGAACATGAAAAGGCAGAGAGATTGATGAAATGGCTGGAAAAGAAGAAACCATCTTCCACTGTCTTTGTTTCATTTGGAACAGAGTATTTTCTTTCTCCAGAAGAAAGGGAAGAGATGGCTTACGGGATTGAGCTGAGCATGGTGAATTTCATATGGGTTCTTAGGTTTCCTGTGGGGGAGAAAACTAACATTGAGAAAGAATTACCAAGAGGGTTTCTTGAAAGGACAGGGGAGAGGGGAATGGTGGTGGAGGGATGGGCGCCTCAAGTGAAAATATTGCTGAATCGCAGTATTGCGGGGTTTGTGAGTCATTGTGGATGGAGTTCTGTGATGGAGAGCATTAGTGTTGTCGTTCCGATTATTGCCATGCCTATGCATCTTGATCAGCCACTGAATGCTAGGCTTGTGGAGAATATTGGGATTGGAATAGAGGTTAGGAGGAACAAAAAGGGTTGCCTTGAAAGAAAAGATATAGCAAAAGCGACTAAAGAGGTGGTGGTGGTGGAAGGAAGTGGAGGGAACATAAGAAGAAAAGTAAAGGAAATGAGTGAGATTGTGAAGAAGAAAGGAGAAGAAGAGATTGATGGGGTAGTAGATGAACTGGTGAAGCTTTGTGGGATTAAAAAGACTGCTAATCCTTAATTTGTATCCCACTTTACTCGAATTAAGTTAATATGTGAACTTTATTTTTACTACAATTTAGCACAATTTATACAATTTTCTACAACGAAAACCCATGTAAAAAAAGTAAAAGATTAAATATAAATACACTAATTCAACGTAAAAAAATCCTTAAAATAGAGTAAACAAAGAAGATGAAGAGAAAAATGATTTTTATTATTAAAAAGGAATAATAATATTAGAACCAAAAATCTCCAGTCTCCTCTAAAAACCTTTAATCTTTCACAATAACTCTCACTTAATATCTTAATAAATTTTCTAACTCTCTTAATTTCTCACAGCCGAAATTTCGCTTGCTCCAAACAAATTTATATTAGCTGCAAGTATGAGGAAACAAAAATCTCTCTGCAAATTTGTTCATGTATTTTAATAATATATATAATATATTATCATGATTATTATAAAAAAATTATATTTTTTATTATTAGTATTAAGATTCATCTGAAGTAACTTTTAATTTTAATTTTTTAAAATTATAAAATTTATAAAAATTAAAATAAAAAACTAAAAACCACGGACTTACTAAATAGAGCCGCAAATTCAAATCACACACGGAATTGCATTCGGTTGCTTAAGGCCATTGACGAGGGAACGAAACCTTTATAACCACTTTTTCTGGTTTTTTCGGTATATATTGTAAAGGTGTTAGGCACTTTCTTGGGTATATATGGTTAAAGATGTTTTTGTGCTAGTTTTTATGTATATTAAAACTATTTTTTTTTTAACAATTTTAAGAGTGCATTCCTATATCACTTTAATACATTTAAAAAAAATTAAATTTTGAAGTGTTAATCTTAATTAAAGCTTAAATTTTAAACTTAATTTATCAAACCATACTTTCTAATAAAGTCTGATTGATGTTATCTTAGTGGCCACTTCCCCACTTCTTTTTATTCTTTTGTAGACTTCAATTTCCACTTGAACTCTCTCATTCCAATTCCAAGATTAAAAAAGAAGAAAAAGAAGAAGATGATGAGGAGGAAGAGGAGAAGATTTGCAAATAATTATAATTATATTTTATTTTCTTGATAAAATTGGATTTGATTCGAGGATTCAATCCAACTCATTCGCCATAAGTCATGTTATAAATTTAAAATATTAATATGAAATTAAATATAATTTAAATAAAAATCACTTAAATTTAATTGAGTTGAGTTATAGTCGAATTAAGTCAACCTAAAGTAATTTGATTAAAATTAATTAATTTTTTAAATTTTAACAATAAAGTGTTTTATAGTCCTAACTATAAAATAACACTTAAATTTTAAATTTTGATTAATTATATTTTTAATTTTTAAATATAAAATAAAATATATAAAATAATTATTATTTATTAAATTATTAGTATTAATAGTAATTTAATAATTTTTAATAATTAATTAATTAATATTAAATTTAAAAAATACAAAATAAATAAATAAATAAATAAAATTTGCTTTTAATTTTTAATTTTTTAAAACGGTTGAATCCACTTAATTTGACACAATCCAAAACTCATGCAGGTGAATTACAAGTTTACGTTTTAAAGTAAAGTCCAAAATCACCCAATTTAATAAAGATAGATGCCGAATTTAAATGGAGTATTATAAAAATAATTTTTTTATATAATGTTCACATATTATTAAAAAATATATATTTAATATTATAAATTTTACATAAAATAAAAAAATTAATTATTTTAATAATATATTATATTATATAAAAAATAAAATAAAACAATTATACAAAATTCATTTCCCCGATGCAAATTCATCTTCCCCGACTTGTTTGCAATTGCAGGTCTACTTTCCCTGTACGTAATCAATGACGAATTGCTTGTACCAAAAAAGCTAATCAATGACGTATTGCTCTTAGTCGGCACCTTTAAAAGGCAAAGAAATCATCAAACGAGTCCAGCAAGAAAGTATAGTACCACCAGAGCCAATGGATTCTAGACATGGAAGAGTTCGTGTTCTAATGCTTCCATGGCTAGCTCATGGTCACATTTCACCATTCCTCCAACTAGCCAAGAATCTTGCTGCCACACAAAACTTCGACATCTACGTTTGCTCTACCCCTGTAAACATATCTTCCTTCAACCATGATTTTCTCCCTCCCCATTCCTCTCTTTCAATCCATTTCGTGGAATTCCATCTCCCAACATCGCCTGACCTTCCTCCCCACCATCACACCACCAAAGGCCTCCCGCCCCACCTCATGTTTTCTCTATTTTCAGCCTTTTACAATTCAAGCTCCACCTTCTCCACAATTCTCAAAACAATTAACCCAGATTTGCTCATATATGACTTTGCTCCTTCCTGGGCGCCGGAACTTGCTTCATCCATGAACATCCAATCCGTTTTCTTCATGTGCAGCAGTGCTGTAATGTTTTCATTGACGTATCATTTTATCCGGGACCCCACTGTTGATTTCCCTTTTCCAGATATTTATCTGCACGATCACGAACAGGAGAAATTCATGTCGCTCATTGAATCAAGACGCAGCAGAATCCAAAAGGCATCATCTTGCATGGCTTTGATCAAGACTTCGAGAGCAATCGAAGCAAAATACATCGATTACCTCTCTGTTTTATTCGAGACGAAGCTCGTCCCCGTAGGTCCGCTCATCAATGATCCAACTGACAACCCAATTGAGGATTCCGATTTCATGAAATGGCTTGACAAAAAGGAGAAATTTTCCACTATCTTCGTTTCGTTTGGTAGCGAATACTTTCTCTCCAAGGAAGAGATTGAAGAAACTGCTCATGGGTTGGAGCAGAGCAAGGTTAATTTCATCTGGGTTCTAAGATTTCCGGCTGAATTAGAGAAGTTCAGCATCAAAGAGGCACTCCCTGAAGGGTTTCTCGAGAGGGTTGGGGAAAGAGGAAAGGTGGTGGAGGGATGGGCGCCGCAAGCGAGAATTCTTGGGCATCGGAGTGTCGGTGGGTTTGCGAGTCACTGCGGTTGGAACTCATTGCTGGAGAGCATAGCAAGTGGGGTCCCGATAATCGCGATGCCGGTGCAATTCGATCAGCCGTTGAATTCGAGGTTGGTGGAAGAATTGGGTATCGGAGTTGAGGTTAAGAGAGATGAGAAGGGGAGACTTCGCAGAGAGAAAGTGGCGGAAGTCATAAGAGCGGTGGTTGTGGAGGAAGGCGGTGAGTGTGTGAGACGGCAGGCGAAGGAACTGAGGGAGATATTGCGATGCAAAGGAGAAGAAGAGATGAACGGCGCCATGGAGGAGCTACTGCAACTATGCAAGGGCAAAAAGGAGAATTGATAATGCAAAATTTAATAAAGCATTCGCTTTTATTTTTTTAAATCGCTTAATTAATAATCTTAATAATTTTAATCGCAAATTCCCATCAAAAAAATTAGATCACAAATCAAAATAACGGAGATGCATTTTTTTTTTTTAATGTAGTAATTAGAGATTAAATCTTAAATATGTAACAAAAAATACAAATAATTTACCAAACCACATGGCTGATAATATGAACATGCATTGTTGCATTCCAGATTTTCTGACTTTGAAACCTATCTGTGATTCATCACACTTGCGGCTTACGTACCCTTTGTTTTCTTCAACTCTCCGTTTGAGTTACCTTCACTTCTCTTGATTACTCAATTGTATTCTCCACAATTTTTAAGACCCTCTTGTCCATTGCAGCTTTTGCATCCTTGAATAATGTTATCTACTTAAACTTACACTTACCATTTAAACCTTTATACTAATTAACTGCAATATTGTCATCACTCCTTTTCAAGGTGGTTTTGATTTTGGGCATGCTTAAGTTTATTTGATGATATTGGGCTTGTTTTATCAATGGGATTGATTCAAACTTGCTCAGTGTTGGTAAATTTTATTTTCAGATGAAATGATTTTAGTTTGTTTTGGATGCTGCAATGATACATGTTAAACCTCCTATGGATCAGTTAAAAGGAATTTTTTTTGTTATAAAAATTCTGATTTCATTATGATATTAATATAATTTGAGATATTGCTAGAATCAAATCTTAGACCTATTAATCATTTATTTATGGAATTTTTAATCAGTCAAATTGTTGTGTTTGATTTTGTTTTTTCAATTACTACTGAGTCTTATTTTTTTTAGATGAATCAAAAGTTTTATTAAATAAGGAGTACAAGGGGTACTCCATCCATAGTCTCAAAATTACATTACATGATAACACCAACTAATGAGTCTTATTGATTTGTGGTTTATTTGCATGCTTTACCTTGATTGCAGATGGAGGAATACATGGAGCAATTGGGTCTTTTGGTCCAAAGACTTCACTTAAAACTCTTTTTCCTTTGTTGTTTTTATATTTATTCATCTTGAATTGTATAATTTGACCTGATAAAGTTTGTTTTTATATATTTAATATACAAACACACACCTAACACAGAGTTAGGAAGGTCTTGATATGGATGGCAAATAATGTCACTAAATGGTTTAACTAAGATTTAAAAATCTAAGTTTAAGAGATGATATAACCACCCAATGGATCATAATCCTTTAGAATAATCTATTGGCATTACACAACGCGGATTGAAAGCTATATTGTGCGAGGTGGCTGTAGATTGTGGAACTGTGTGTGATATTCTTTGCTATCATATATATGGGAAGAGTAATGGACAGTCTATAGGTTCAA